ATCTCCGACTGCTCCACAAAGGATTTCCAGAGAAGAAGCCAAAGTACGCTTCGAAAAAGGGGAGATTAATAAAATCAGCAAACAGCCTGGCGCATGTCCACTAAAGGGCAAGAGCAAGAGGGGGAACGAGAACTTGTCACCTCTGCTCCTGCAAAGAGAGAAAATAGCCAGCATGAAAAGCCGTCCAATACCGAGAGGCAACCAGGGACGTATTACCAGGTTTGCTGCTATTGCTGGACAAGTTATTATCGCGGTGCTGCCAAAGAATTACCCAGAGGCTGCACTGACGCAGAAGAAGAAGTGGCAATACTGGACAAAGTAGTTGCGAGCGGATTGCAATACAACTATCCACAAAATGTGGTTCAGCTGCGATTTGCGGGGATACACTTTCGGTTGAGCGTACTCATCATAGATTGTGCATCACAAAAATCGGCGGATTGGTTGGTGAAACAGCAACTAAGCTTAAAAATTGGCAGGGGTTGGGACTGGTTTCAGTGAAGGAAGAAAACATCCATAAAGAGGCGACCATCACGGTCTTTCTGCCGATGAGCAAAGAGAAAGGCACCTGCTACTTGCCGAGCTATATCCAGGCTCAGAACTTCTTACATTAATCTGTATATCACCCTATATAATCTTAAAATGATGCAATAATTCAACCTGACTAAAAGGAAAGGAAACTCTTTTCTTACTATTAGTTGGAAAATATTATGATACATAAATTTAATTCAAAATATTTTTAAAACGCGGTTCCAAATAAGGCTTTAAATGCATTTCTCACTGCACTTTCGTTTAATGAAAGATTTGTAAACATGAACGTACCTACTTATTTATTTCTATTTCAACATACCATTAGCACAATCAGCAATCATGCCCACTTAATATCGTGTTACAGTTTATAACTAGGTACACTTTTTATAAATAGTTTTATTTTATAAAATACCCTTCAGTGGTGTGCGGATAAATTTTGTTCTGTTGATAGATAATAACGAAAGTAATAGTAAAATGTTACTGTATGTGTAATAGATTGTCCCTTCACTTATTATTACTTTTCTTATATCTAGGCAGTTAGGTGTGCACTATGTCTCTGTGCTCTTTAGAATCAGCCGCCACTGATTAATCAAAATATACCTCAAATTTAAAAGAAGTACCATTAATTTTCTAATTTAATGAAACAAAGTAGTTACTTTTACCTCTTTATTAGTATTACAAATTTTTATTGTTAGAAATATAACCTCCTTACCTAAAGTATATGATAGCAAGGTTCAAAAATATCAATATATGTATTTACATATATTGTATATGTATATAAGTATCAGACATCGAATATACAGGGTGAGCCTTAAATAAATGCAAATATTTTCAAAGGGTTGGTAGATCTTGATAAATGAAATATATTTTCTCTATGTCGTTTTTCTAAAAATAAGTAGAAAATAGCCGAGTTAATTTACTAAAAAGCTATTCTTTTTTCTTAATTTTTGGGAACCGCTTATCTTTTTCTGTTTTTTTCGTTCCTCTAAATTAAGTCAAAACATGTTATCATATTATCAAGATATTATATCTTTTAATTGAAAATTTAAGAAAAAAATATATTTTTTTAAATTCAAATATTTGTAAAAAAATACCTTTTTAAAAAAGTTAAAAGAATTAATATAAGAGTGAAAATATTAAGAAACAAAGGGCCGTTTAACTGTGCCGGAAACACTGCAGCACACAGGATATACAGGGCGAGTCTTAAATAAGTGCAAATATTTTTAAGGTCGGTGGATCTCAATGAAATAAACATGTTTTCTCCCCCGATACTATCCCTAATAATATTTGCATTTATATAAGACTCTCCCTGTATACACAATACCAGGTGCGTCTCAAATGTGGCTCACTTCTATAACTTTTTTTGTTTCTTCAGAAAAAAAAAACGAGATTTGGTATGTTAGTATATGACATAAATTAGAATTGATTGACGAATTCAATTCTTTTCGGTCACTTCCTCTTTCACCGGAAATGACTACAACTTTTAATTTTTAAATGGCACCCTCGGTATTTTTTTACTTTATTCGATAGAAAATGACACTCTCTGAATAGAATGACATATCATATGTCAACTTTTTACATATTCAATTAAAAAAAAATAGCATTTTAAATTTCAATTTAGAGTACTTTGGTCATAAATGTAACGACAATTTGACTCGAAATATCAAATGTGGTGTACCAAATTATTCGTGAAAAAATGTTTTTTTTTTAACACAAGATTTACTGCACTCCCTGAATATTACTAAAATTTTGGATTCTTATGCGACATAAATAATTTAAAATGTTTGCCAAATAACGAGCTTTTGAAGCACTGTAATGATTTAAGTCTTCTGAGCTTTACGATAAACTACAACTTTTAGTGCCTATTCTACCAAACACCATTAGAGATGCCAATCAGATGGTGTTTGCAGAAAGCAGAAAGGAGTTTTTCTAAGTTAAAAATTATAAAAACTACTTAAGAAACAATATGAAGCAGGACCGACTGTTGCTTTAGCAATACGCTCCATCGAAGCCAGATTTAGCTGCAAAAATCATCCTTACTAGAAGAAGACTTACTTTTGTGAATAATATTACTTTTCTCAAAAATTAAATCACTCAAGTTGCGAAATAAAACCTTTTTTCAAATCTATATGCTTTGCAATATTCTCCCAACGCGCATTTATATTTTTTCACTATCGTAAGTAGGTATGTCGTGTCGAAGCATGTTTGGTAAGATAGGTTTATTGTGTAGATTTTGGGAACGAAAGTAAAGGGGCCTCGCTGATACGACTTTACCCACATCTATATTAATCTACGCTACGCCACTGACTAATTTATTTCATATACTAACAAACCAAATCTCGTTTTTTTATCTGAAAAAATAAAAAAGTTATAAGCAGGCAGGCCGCGGACTGTCCCCACTATGCCTATCCCTGTACCTGTACCCCAGCGGCGTGCGGTCCATGGAAGCGGAGGAAGCACCGCTTCCCTAAACTTTTTAAAGATAAAAAAATAAATAGTTAAACGTTAATAATACTGTTATTTTATAACAAAAGATTAATTTAATTTGTTAAAATTGTTTATTTGAAACCTTACATAAACGTAGTAAATTTAATTAGCCATTTACTGCATGGATGCGCGCCTGGAAATCGCCGCCGGTCGTCTATCCCTCCTTCATGTAGGTGTTACTGACCTCGAACGCAAACGACAAATTTAAGCCGGAAAATCGCGCACAGTTGCTAGCCACGGCAGCGATCTTTCGGCCGCCTTCCTCGACTTTTAATTTATCGGGACGGGTTTTCGCTTGCGATTTTATAGGTAATATTGTATTTTGTTCGGATTTAACTAAGTGTGTAAACATAAAACGAAACACAAAAGTAACAATAATGTTTCGTTTGTAATGGAGGGTCAAGAAGGACAATCTTCTGTTTCTGCTAGTGTGGACAATAATTTAGACTGTGTGTTTGTGTTGTATGTGTGTTATTAAAAAAGGGATTTTCTAGTCGGAACTTCCAAGAAATAAGTGACATTATTAAGTCTGGTAGGCCAACGGTTCCTATCAAGAAAATGTAAAAGTAATGTCTCGAAATAGGGTTTTTTACCGATTCGCTTCCCCGCCTATAATTGTCACCGCACGCCGCTGCTGTACCCTGCACCAACTTGTGCAGTGTGCAGGCTCTTGATAGGATGAGATGTCAAGCATAGTTCCTCCGATTGTAGCTTTGCTTTCCCAAATAAAAAGTGTTGTTTGTGATCCAGAGCCACTCAGTTTCTATAATAATATTGTGTTCCGTTGTTTCAGGATCTTTATTGCGGAGTCTGTAGCAAAAAAAAGACTTTCATAATACAGGTTGAGCTTATGCAGGTAGCACTTGACAGCCATATGTCCTGTGAAGAGGCCTGCTATACTCCGCACTTTATTCCTGTTAAGCATTAGCAGTTGCTTTGGGGTTTTAGAATTTGTTCCTTGTATGCTTTCCCTTTGCTTTGCTATGTTTCTCCAGTGGACTTTTCCTTAATCCAGATTTTTACTGCACAAGGGGGGGGGGTCCAGTGCCATTACTAGGAATGTCCAAATGTCTAGACATTTGGACATTCCCAGTACTGGCACTGGATCAAGATAGGATTCCGATAAACCTTCCCTTGCTAGTTCAACGGCTTTTTCGTTGCCTTGGATGCGACTGTGGACTATTTTTTTAATTCTGCAAATAAAAACTTGCGGGGAAAATTAGTAAATATATTTAGTTTAAAAATGAAAATAAAGATATCATTTTTTTTACTGTTTGGGAACGAATTCTTAAAAAAAAGGTTAATAATTAGCTCATCGTTGTATAGCAGGACGAATAAAATTAATGCTGAGATTGCTGAGCTACCGCTGTTTCGGTGTCCTAAACCTACACTAAATTGCATTATCGGTTGTGAGATACCTCATTTAAATACTTTAATAAGAAAAAAAGTTTTGCTGTGTGTGTGTGGTTTTCATTACCTACACAGTTAGTCATTATCTAGGTAAAATATCTTTCTAATCCTGCCTATGCTTGATTCGTAGTCAACAGCTGACTGCAACGCTTCATGAATATGTACAATTTTACATCTCAGTTCACCATTCCATTTTCATAAATGTTTTCATGCTCATGCTAATGTATTTTGAAAATTAATAAGTAATAGGTAAGTAATAAGTAATACATATACAAAGAATAAAAAAGAGTCCCTTGTGACTGAATTTCACTTAAATTCGTTTTTTAGTTCATTCTAATTATTTACTATTTTTACACGTCCCTGTTAAATCTATTATATTAAGAACCTCCCAAGACACCACAAACAATTTAAACAATATTCACATTTAATTAGCAGGTAATTTACATTCTTCTACTTCTATTTGAAAGACATAAAATAAGTTCGAGGTCGACGATGTTTTAGCACTGAGGACATAATTCGACCATCTTAAATCTATCTGTTATTTGTCACTAGATTTTTTTGTCATAGTGCACTCGATGTATTGAACCTATTGGAATGAGCATGCCAATCGAGACCTTGCTATTAAACTAAATTTATATATTATAGTAACTTGCTAAGCGGGGTCTTCATTGTAGTTACGAACAAGTTGCTGACCGGTGCGGACAGGGAATAGTTAGTTATATAATATTTTCCATAAAAAATAATCTGTGAATATGAAGACATTGATTGTTTTATGTCTTTTTGCCGAATTAGCTTTGGCCACTATACGTAAGTGTTGATTATTACTAATTATTAAGAATATTACTTATCTTTTTTTTTAATATATTTGTTGTTGTAAGTTGAAAAAAAGATTGTTATAAAATTAGTGAAATTAGTATGATTTTTTGAATTTACGGGTAGTATAAATAAATGATAATTATATGTATTTATTTTCATGCCTTATGTTTAGAGGCGTATACTAAAAGATAATAATTGTAAAAATAACTTAAATTGTTTTAGATTCTAATTACATTACAATAATTGTTTTAGTAATTATTTAAATATAGTAAAGGTATTAATTACTGTCCTTTTGTTGGATATTTTGAATTAGTATTGTGTATAACCGTGACTTAGAGCACAGAAGCTAGATATTCTGTGCTTAGAGTATACGGAAAATAATTATATCTCGCTTGCTATCTAAGATTTTCGCTGTAATATTTTTTATAAAATATGCGGCTAACGATAGTGCACAGTTTAAAACTACTTTCAAAGACATACAGGGTAATTCAAATATATTTTTACATGTAAGTAATGATTTTTTTAAATACAATGCTGCATATTTCTTTTTGATTAATGAATTTGCTTTAAATACCCGTTTTAATGTCATTATCTATACCGAGTGTTTTGGGAGTTTCTGAAAAATTATTTTTCATTTAATTTTTAGACTATACCTGCACTTATATCTGCAAATTTAAAGCTCGCTCATAATTATCATTTTATAATTAAAAATATTTTTCATAATTACAAACTTTACTTTTAATCAGTATCTATTTTTTATCATTATAATCGGCCTTTATATGGCTCATTTTAATTTGATAAATAGTTTGTATATCCAAAATCGATGTTTATTATTTATTAGTTATCTGTTTTATATTGACTATTCTCAATATTATACAGGACCCGGCAAAAGTGCGTCGGGCATCTGTAGCTCCTGGAATTAAAAAAAAACTTGAGAATGTTGTTTAAGTGCAAACCTAAAGTATGTACCAGGATATATTTCCGGAAAATATTTAACTTCTATAGGGTGGCTCAAAAAAGTGTAAGTGGATCGGGATGATTTTTTAAAATAGAGCACCCTGTATATTATTGCATTTTTGGCTTCCTTTCAGATCACTTTACATAATCCTATGATTTGAGTAAATATATTTCGATAATTTCAAAGATTAAATAAACAAAGAATATATATGTTACGGTTAAGGTACGATATTCGGTTAATATCGACATTACCCGGTTAATCTCGAAAATAACACAAAACAAAACAATCAAACCCAAACATTAACTGGATATATTTCAAGAATATATATTTAAAGTATTTCACAATTTTTCATGGTTCCGCAGATACACACAGTATTATTTTATATGGCTTTTTCAACGGTAAAATACGAAAGAAAAAACATTGGGTGGCTTTGATAAAAATTTACTGTGGAAAATGCCATATGAAATATAAAATTGTGAGTGTCTGTGAAACCGTTAAAAATTTTGAAATACTTTAATTACAAAAAATGTTTATTATATAATTCTCTATCTATTGAAAAAATGATATACAGGGTGATCCATTTAAAGAAACGAAGAAAAATTATTTTATATTTTAGAAAGTTTGATGGCGTAGAATTTTGAATATCCTGTATGATTTACGATTACCATATTTATAGCAAAGTAAGTAGGTATAGACCATCTAAAGTAAATGCCTAATATAGTTTTGATTTCAGGACAGTTCTTGTATGTTTAATATTTTTTTAATAAAGGCTGAAAAATATACAGGGTGTTCCAGAAATAAGTGCAAGTATTTTAAGGGGTGGTAGATCTCGATAAAAGAAACATATTTTCTCTTTATCGTTTTTCAAATATGTCCAAAAATAACGGAGTTATTTTACTTTGAAAATTTCCAAAAAAGATGATTTCTTGCTAAAATTTTGAGAACCACTGACTGGTTCTTTTCTGGATTTTCTTCCTTGTAAATTTAATCTAATACCTATGTTGCCATATTATCAAGAAATTATGTTTTTTAACTAAAAACTAAAAAAAAAATAAAAATAAAAATTTTTTTTTCGCGAAAAAAACCTCATAGGCGTGTTTCTGGGGTTGAACTATACTACCAGTTAAAATACTTGCACTCATTTCTGGGATACCCTGTATATTTTTTATTTATTTATTAATATATCTGAAACTATCAAAATATATTTACTCATATCTTAGAATTATGTAAAATGATCTGAAAGGAAGCCAAAAATGCAATAATATTACAGGGTGTTCCATTAAAAAAATAATCCCGAACCACTCACACTTTTTTAAGCCACTCTATAGAAGTTAAAATATTTTCCTGAAATACATGCCCATGACCTATACAAACAATAAAAAGTGGCACACATTTTTTTTAGAAAAATATCCCAGGGATACCCTGTATTCGCGTCCCCGGTGAATATGTAGATAATTTTTTAGCATTAAAGCATGAAACTTTTACTTTCAAAATTTCATTCGAATCGCTAAAAGCACTTGGAAGAAAACTATAATAAATCGAAAAAAAGTAGACAAACTCCCTGTATCTAGGAAACAAAGCAGAATCGGAAAACCAAAAATAAATTTTATTTTTGCGTGAGGAATCACCCCACGAGAAATGGCACATGTTTGATGAAACACTCTGTATTGCAAGCAATTTAGCTCATTTATTCATTGTTTATTACAAATATTTTTTGACTGAAAATATTTTTTAAATGAGCGTTGTCCGCATATTTTGCAAAAAAACAAAATGAAATGAAAAATGAAAATATGAAATAAGCAACATAGTATAAAAGCTTTTCGAACAAGGGTGTCACCTTGTATGCAATATGCCTCCAGATTGTCTTGTCTGTGGCAAATGGCACATGTTTGATGAAACACCCTGTATTGCAAGCAATTTAGCTCATTTATTCATTGTTTATTATAGAGAAATCCAATAAGATAAAATAATAAATGTTAAACATTTTTAATATTTTGCACTTCTTTAGTTTAAAAAAAAACTAAACTTTTTAAAGCGATTATATTTCAACAAACTTTAGATACGAATACTAGATACAAAAATAAGTGTTTTGTTTAAAAATATTATTGAACTACCGCTTATATGACTGAAAATATTTTTAAAATAAGCGTTGTCCGCATATTTTGCAAAAAAAACAAAATGGAATGAAAAATGAAAATATGAAATAGGCAACATAGTATAAAAGTTTTTCGAACAAGAGTGTCACCTTGTATGCCCCCCAGTATGTCCCCAGATTGTCTCTACAAGAGGAAAAAAACTTTTTTATTATTGATGTTTTGGGAAAAATGCATCCTTTATAAAACATTTTGCTTGTTCTAAAATGGTTAATCTCGTTTAAACTTTTCCAAATTTCCATTTTTCCAAATAAGTCCTAAAAATCAAAAGGCGTTCCTATGGTAATATCAATTCGATTTCATTCTTTGATAGATGGTTAGAGTTAATTTTGACTAATGTCATATTCTTTGCTATTGTTAAAGTATCATATTTCCGATAATCATCCCCTTTCCGTAGCATTGAACTAAATAAATTTTGTGCTTCTTTAGCATTTTAAAACAACAAAAAACATTACATTAATTAAAATTATATGAAAAATAATATAAAAGAATTAAATCGAATTGATATTACCATAGAAAAACCTTTTGATTTTTAGGACTTTTTTTATGACGAAAAAATCAACCATATTTTCACGTTTTTTTTTTTATTTTCTCTAAAACGGCATGGAAATTTGGAAAAGCATATACGGGATTAACCATTTTAGAACAAGCAAATTTTTTTTATGAAAGATGCATTATTCTCAAAATGTCAATAATAAAAAAGTTTTTCCTCTTGTCAAGACAATCCGAGGACATAATGTAGACAATTTTGTCTTGTTTTCAGAAATACAATGTATAGATAAAAACTGTCTACGCTTTAATAAATAAATCGTTTTGGAAAAATAAATAAATTTACAATATTAGGTTGGAACCTCGGTTGGAACCATTCGTGTTACAAAACATACTACTAAAATACAGCACAAGAATTACTTAAATTAATTTTAGGCGCACGTGTCATTAATCGTTATTTTTTAATACTGGATTTACTCATTTATTTCAAAATAAGACTTTATTTGAATAATAATCCCGCCAAATATTATTTGTATTACACCTATTACACATGATACTAAATATTACTGTGAAGAAATACATGATATAACAAAGAGTGTAGTAGTGTTTATGACATCTTGAGAGATGAAAAGGATTGCAGATCTATAGTATTAAAAAGAAATTTTTCGTTTATTAATGTCCATGATGGTTGTTTTAAAACATAGTTTAGTAAACAAAAAGATACAAATATTCTTTCTATTATATCTAGTAGATCTGAAAGTTGGATAAATAGAGGCTATAATTTAACAAGTTGTTGGAATACGGCAAAACACCACTAAAAGAATATATTTTGTTTATGTAATTAATTTATTAAATGGTAGTACATAGTCAAATATCATTATGATATTGCCAAAACTCATCACCAAAACATAATTTATTTCTAAAAGGCTTGAAGTAGGTTAAAATTTTTATAAGTAAATTTAAAATTATTTCCAACTTTTACATTTTTATTGACATTTTCGTTTTATCAAAATTTATATTTGTTGATAAATTTAATTTTTGTGCTTTTACCTTTACCCTAACCCGTCCAATCTCTGATGTTTTTCAACCACGAATGTTTCTTTCTACCTATACCCCGCTTGCCCTCAATTTTTCCCTCCATTATCAATTTTAACAGCTCATATCTACTTCCACGCATTATATGATCCAGATAGACTGTCTTACGTTTCTTGGCTATGTGCACTAATTCTCTTTCGCACTGGGCTCGCATCAGCACCTCTTCGTTCTTCGTTTGTGACATGTGCCGTCCAATGTATATTGAGAAGTTTACGAAGAATCCACATCTCAAGGGCTTCTATTCTGTTAATGTGTTAGAGTCCTTTAGAGTTCATGATTCACAGCCATACAACAAA